ATTTAAAAGCTGGGAGCTGGATGGGACGTCATCCTCTCTGATGGAGAGGCAGGAAGACAGCGACCTGAGCCACACAGTGCATTTATTTTTATAGGCCTAGATTTACATATCTAGTCCCGCCCCTGCTGACACTGGACTGCTATGAAGTCAGAACTGATTAACATGTCCAGCCTTATTGGGAAACCATGTTCCCAGGGCATGGCTCTGCCTATGCCCTAAGTTCAGCTGATGATAATTAAAGAAAATGCCCATGTGTCTTCCCAGGTGACCTTCTACAGATCCCAAGGGAATTTACCCTGAAGATCAGTCTGAATTGATTCTAGATTCTTCCCTATTTTTATGAAGGTCTAGAAAGACTTTGTAAATATGAGTGAGGTCCAAGTGTTACTACCAAAGACTGGCCTGTAGTGTGTGGGCTCTTGACTTTGTATAGAAAAGATTTTGGAACACAAGTCTAGGTCCATGGTCAGCAAACTGCGACTCATGAGTGTGGCTCTTCCACAAAATACTACAGCCTGGGCAAGTCTGTTTTGAAGAAGTAGCATTAGAAGAAGTTTAAGTTTAAAAAATTTGGCTCTCAAAAGAAATTTCAATCGTTGTACTATTGATATTTGGCTCTGTTGACTAATGGGTTTGCTGACCACTAGTCTAAGTGATTGAGAGTATGTTTATTAAAGCTGGAGCAGTGAAGCAAAGGAAGGACTTAGCACAGAAGGAACAACAGGAGCGAGCCTAGGTGGTGCTCTGCTTTGGCTCTCTAGAAATGTTATAGGAAAGGAATGAGCTTAGGTTGGATTGCTTTGGCTCACTGGGAAGTCAGAGAAAAGAAGGTGTTGGAAATAGGGTCGGGGTTAACGTGGGACTAGCTGCCACTGCCCACTGTTCCCCTACTTGCAAGTCTCCTAGGGCCTTAGAGTTTAGGAGGAAGTAAAAAGTTCAAGCCCAGAAAGGGGCATGGGAGTGCTCTAGAGCAAGCCATATTGAGTCTTTGTCCTGAGAACTTTTTGTCTTGTTCTCTTTTTGTGTGTTTTTTCCCCGCCATGCAGGTGAGAATCTTCGGGGAGGGTTTTAGCAGAATATTCATCAATTTTCCAGGTATATTTTTAATATGCTGATGCATCAAAATGAATGTACAGGAGAGTGTTTGAATTATTCTTTGGTCTGTTTTACTTTTGTCTTGGGTCTGTGTAGCTCTAATGGGGTTTTTGTTATCTGTTATCCCAACTTTATTTGTCCTTAGGTTTAGCTGACACAAATGGCATTGATTGAGTCTTTGTTCTTTATTTCCAAATGAGGATGATTTAAGCTATGTATTCTCTGGTTAGGGAGGGGAAGTATAAAATATTGGCTCTCAAGTGTCCTTGGTTAGGGGAGATAAAGTCTTGCTATTTACGAGTTGGCTGAACGTTGTTCAAATTGGCTTAATTTTCTTGTCTCAGTTTCCCTATTCCACTTATCCAGGGATTTTTCTTGCTTCTTTTTAATCCTTCCACAAGGATTAAAGAATACCCCAGTCCTAGCTGATTTGGCTCAGTGCATAGAGCAGTGGCTGTGGACTAAAGGGTCTCAGATTCAATTCCAGTCAAGGGCTTGCTTGCAGGCTTGATCTCCCGGCTCCATCGGAGGCAACCAATTAGTGTGTTTCTTTCACATCAATGTTATTTATTTATTTATTTATTTAAAATATATTTTATTGGTTTTTTACTGAGAGGAAGAGAGAGGGATAGAGAGCTAGAAACATCAATGAGAGAGAAACATTGACCAGCTGCCTCCTGCACATCCCCTATTGGGGATATGTCCGCAACCAATGTACATGCCCCTGACCGGAATCAAACCTGGGACCTTTCAGTCTGCAACCAACGCTTAATCCACTGAGCCAAACCGGTTTCAGCCACATCAATGTTTTTTCTCTCTCTCCTTTCTCTCTCTCCCCGCCCACCTCTCTCTCTGTCTCTCTCTTTCTCCTCTCGCACGCTCTCTCTCTCCCTCTCCCTCCCTCTTCCCCTTCCTCACTCTCTAAAAAACCAATGGAAAATATCCTTGGGTGAGGATTAATTTTTTTTAAAAAAATTTTTTTCCTTATAGAACAATGAATTCAAATGAGTAGGTACTTTATTTTTCATAGATGCTAAGAAAAGCTAAAACATGGAAACTTTAGACTTTAGGAACCGCGCAAGTAGTTATTATTATTCTACTAATATGTAAGAACAAGTATATATTCAGAGAATCCTATGTATCCTATGCAATTTGTCTCATTATAAGAAAAAAAATAATGTTGTTAGCCCTCAACAATGGATAGGCCTCAATGGATAGTCAGCCTGAGGACTGAAGGGTCAGGTTGGATTCTAGTCAAGGGCACATCCGGGGTTGTGGGCTCCATCCCCAGTCAGGGGCATGAAGGAGGCAGCCGATCAATGATTCTATGACATCATTGATATTTCTGTCTCTCACTTCCTGTCCGAAATCAAGAAAAATGTATATTTAAAATGTTTTTATTTATAATTAGAGAGAGGAGGGGAGATGCGGAGAAAGACAGAAACATCTCGATCGGTTGCCTCCTACACCCCGCCTCACGGGGGAATCAAGCCTGCAATCGGGACGGGTGCCCTGACCCGGAACCGAAGGGCTGAACCCTTGTTTCCCGGGTCTACGATCCACCGCTGAACACACCGGCCGGCTCATGTAATCTTAAAAGAACACTACGAGAGAGAAGGCAAACAATTAATAAATACTGGGACGGGAGCCTAACTTGTATTCCAAACGCAAAGTTCTATCATAACACGAAATCGGAATCGAGAAAAATTAGTTATTTTTAATTTCGTCAGCGGAAACCATGAACGGCAGATAAATCTCGCGATACTATGGAAACTACTACTCCCGACACGCCAAGCCGCTTCCGCCCAGGAGCCTATGCCCGCAGGTCTGGCGGTCCCGGCATGCCTCGAGGCGCGAAAGGCCACCTGGGCATCGTAGTTCTCCCGGACGCCTAGCGGTCCTGCCGTGCCAGCGCTGCGGCAGCGGCTCTCCGCGTCAGACCGCGGTTCCGTGTGAGCGAGCTGAGGCGGAGGACGGGCGTGGAACCGGGCACGGGTGAGTTGGCGCGGTCTAAGGCGATAAAGGCAGGCGGCACCTTGGCACGGGGCTGAGTCAGGTAGATGGACTCGTGTGGTTGTCTCTCCGGAGACACGGTTATCGTTGAGCCCGCAACCGCAGGGTGAGGAGAAGCCAGAACCCGGCCCCAGCTTAGCGCCCCGTTCTCGCCCTCGGCACCCGCCACCGTCACCGCCATGCAGGCCCGGGAAGACGCTCCTCGCTCCCGCCGCCTCGCCAGCCCCCGCGGCGGGAAACGGCCCAAGAGGGTCCACAAGCCCACGGTGTCGGCCTTTTTCACGGGCCCGGAGGAGCTGAAGGACACGGCCCACTCGGCCGCGCTGCTGGCGCAGCTCAAGTCCTTCTACGACTCGCGGCTGCTGTGCGACGTGACCATCGAGGTGGTGACGCCCGGCAGCGGGCCTGGCACGGGCCGCCTCTTCTCCTGCAACCGAAACGTGCTGGCCGCCGCCTGCCCCTACTTCAAGAGCATGTTCACCGGCGGCATGTACGAGAGCCAGCAGGCGAACGTGACCTTGCACGACGTGGACGCCGAGTCCTTTGAGGTGTTGGTCGAATACTGCTACACCGGCCGCGTGTCCCTGAGTGAAGCCAACGTGGAACGCCTGTACGCGGCCTCCGACATGCTGCAGCTCGAGTACGTGCGGGAAGCCTGCGCTTCCTTCCTGGCCCGCCGCCTGGACCTGGCCAACTGCACCGCCATCCTCAAGTTCGCTGACGCCTTCGGCCATCGCAAGCTGCGGTCGCAGGCCCAGGCCTTCATAGCCCACAACTTCAAGCAGCTCAGCCAGATGGGCCCGATTCGGGAGGAGACTCTGGCAGATCTGACCCTGACCCAGCTGCTGGCTGTCCTGCGCCTGGACAGTCTGAACATCGAGCAGGAGCAGATAGTGTGTCACGTTGCCCTGCAGTGGTTGGAGGCGGCTCCCAAGGAGCGGGGTCCCAGCGCTGCGGAAGTCTTCAAGTGTGTCCGCTGGACACACTTCGCTGATGAAGATCAGGATTACCTGAAAGGGCTGCTAACCAACACCACTGTGAAGAAGTACTGCCTGGACCTTATTGAAGGGGCTGTGCAGATGCGATATGGTGACATGATGTACAAGTCCGTGGTGCCAAAGCCAGACGACGGCAGTGGCGACGGCGGTGGCGACGGCGGTGGCAGCGGCAGCTGCAGTAGCAGCAGTTGTTGCAGCAGCAGCAGCAGCAGCAGCAGCAGCAGTAGCTGTAGCAGCAGCAGTAGCAGCAGCAGCAGCAGCAGCTCTGTTGTATATGCAGGAGAAAATCCACCCCACAGGTTGGGTGTGTGTGCCAAGAAGATGGTGATTTTCTTTGGTCACCCTAGAGATCCCTTTCTGTGCTGTGACCCCTATTCCGGGGATATTTACAAAGTGCCCTCGCCTTTGACCTGCCTTGCTCACACTAGAACTGTAACCACCTTAGCCGTCTGTATCTCTCCGGACCATGACATCTACCTAGCTGCCCAGCCCAGGAAAGACCTGTGGGTGTATAAACCAGCCCAGAATAGTTGGCAGCAACTTGCAGATCGCTTGCTCTGTCGTGAGGGCATGGATGTGGCTTACCTCAATGGCTACATTTACATCTTGGGTGGGCGAGACCCTATTACTGGACTTAAATTGAAGGAAGTGGAATGCTACAGTGTTCAGCGAAACCAGTGGGCACTGGTGGCTCCACTACCCCATTCTTTTATCTCCTTTGACCTAATGGTAATTCAGAACTACCTTTACGCTCTCAACAGTAAGCGCATGTTTTGCTACGATCCTAACCACAATATGTGGCTGAAGTGTGTTTCCCTTAAGCGCCATGACTTTCAGGAAGCCTGTGTCTTCAACGATGAGATCTATTGTATCTGTGACATCCCAGTCATGAAGGTCTACAATCCAGTCAGAGGAGAATGGAGGCAGATAAATAATATTCCTTTGGTGTCGGAGACCAGCAACTACCGGATCATCAATCATGACCAAAAACTGTTGCTGATTACCTCACGCACCCCACAATGGAAAAAGAACCGAGTGACTGTGTATGAATATGACATTAGTGGAGACCAGTGGATTAATATAGGTACTACATTAGGCCTCTTCCAATTTGATTCTAACTTTTTCTGCCTCTCAGCTCGTGTTTATCCTTCCTGTCTTGAGCCTGGTCAGAGTTTCCTCACTGAGGAAGAGGAAATACCAAGTGAATCTAGTACTGAATGGGATTTAGGTGGATTCAGTGAGCTAGATTCTGAGACAGGAAGTTCAAGTTCTTTATCTGATGATGATTTGTGGGTACAGGTAGCACCTCAGTGAAATATACAGGAGTAGCAGAATTTGTTATAGATAGGTTGAAACACTAAGGTGTTTTTATTGCTTTGGAAAGTATCTAAAAGATATACCCTTTCCCTTTACTGGAAAAAAAGTTGATTAATTTCAGGTTTTCTTTAGAAAGGGTATTATTTGAAATACTAATGTAATTTAAGGTTAGAGAATTTAAGCACTCCAAAAATAAACCAATTTAATAATTTACTGTTCTAAAAATCCAATATTGTTTGATTATTTAATATGTCTGTATTTGATTATGATAATTTACCTCCCATTCTGTTTAAAGTACAGTAACTGGAATTTTAATTTTTAAAATAGAAAACTGGATAGGGATTACTAGGTAGGGTTTTGAAAGTATATATTTTTCTTCAGAACAGTGTAATAGGATTCCAAAACTTTAAACTAGTATATTTATATAATGTGTGTTCTAACCTAACTATAATTTGTTAAATTTTAGTTATTTCCTCCCCTTTTATGAAGAAAAAAAAAGATGCATATATGTTTAATGTGACTGAATGGTTATTTATAATGTGAAGGAATGTAATACTGTACAGAATGGCCATAAGCTCACTGGTAGTAAAAACAACAACAAAAAACCCTACAAGATTCTACTGTTGGAAAAGAAATTTCAGTTTTAAATTTGTAATATAAAATGTGTATTTGCAAATAGTGACCAAGTTTCCATCTAAAAAGAATTCCATTCTAGCAGTGTCACTAATCATCTACAAAACTTAAAAAACAAACAAAAACAAAACCCCAGTAACTTGCTTTGTAAATTCATGTGTTTTATCTATACTTGGTACATGCTTCATTGATTCAGAGGAATAAATCTTTTGTTTATTGGACGTGATTGTGTAAACTTTTGTCTATTGTCTCAAAAAGTTATTGTGATTCTTAAAATATTTTGACTGTATGTCAGCAAGATGTATGATTATTCTTTACTGTTTTGTGAGGTAATATTGGTTTTGAAAATATGTATAAGCTAAGAACAGTATTTTATTGACTAGTAGTTATTGTATCTATCAACTATAAAATCAAATGCCAGCAAAGAACTTTAAAACTTTAAGTTTTAAGTAGAGAATTGTTTTGTGTAGCACTGAAATATTCTGTCAGTGTTGTAAGTCACTAAATGTTATCAGTAGCTTAAAGGTATTTTTGTATTAAAAGTTTACAGTTAAATAACATACGTGGATGATGGCTTTGGGGGGCCAATAGTGAAAGTATATTCATCTAAAATATTTCCCTAAGCAGTGGTATATATGGTTATTTTATTAGAGTGTTTGTATCTGTTCTAAGTTTGTCTGTGAATTAATGCTTTAGTCTTTGTTTCTGTTACTATGTAAGGAAAAGTCCAGAAGTAGACTACATCACATAAAACCAACATTGTTAAATATCAGAAAATATAAATGCTTAACTCTTAAGATTTACTAGATATGGTTGTCATTATTCATAATAAATGACCAGATGCTTATAGTGTATAAAATTACCTATACCCAATTAGAATTATCTTCCTAAATCTTTATTTAATAACATGCTATTCCTATTTGCTAGTGAGAGAATGCTAATATTTCATATACTGTGGCAGAGTACTAAAGCATGTGCTCTCTCAGGTGGGAAACAGAATTTTTGAATGATATACTATCAGATGAAAATAAAGAGAGGGAGACACACAAGTTTTTAAAAAAGTATTTGGAGGCATTTTTATGGGCCATTTCAAGACTTTACAGAACATTCCTGTTTATTTTTTGTGAAATAAGATGCTTGTCTTAGCAGTATGCGTTCTTTTAAAAGGTCAGATATGCTTTCAGTTGCCTAAGGCTAAATTTTGTTCCATTTGATATCAGGGTTGTTCTAAGCACTGTACTTAACACAAAGGTCCCCCCCCACAACTTTTCCTCACCAGTGACTTCTTTTGATAGCTGTTTTTTCATGTTGAAATAGGACAATGGATAATTCATCCAAATTATTCATCTATAGTTTATATAAGAAAAATTCTCCAGGTTGCCATTTTCAACCTTTCAGTTAAAGCCTAAGCTAAATGGTAGTAATATCTTTGTTTACAAAGAGGTTTCTTAGGAAGAATTTTGGTTTCGTGATATATTTGTGAATTAGGGAATAGATGTTAATCATTATTTTATTGATAAGTGATTTGTATGTGATTAATAACAAATAAAACTGGTACTAAATCCCAGACTTTCTGACTTTTTAATTCAGTGTTTCTGCTGAATGTAATACAATACTTGCTTGTGCAGTGAATGACTTAACTAGCAGTGTGGAAATTCCTTTTGACAGAAAAGCATCCTTGTCTCAGTTTTCCAATTCATCATCACATCTTTTAGAAAATTCTCGATATAATGTTGTTTGCAGGACTACTATTTATAAGATTTAGAGTAACGGTAATTATTTTTTCTATCTTTCCATAGTCTGAGAAGCTCAAAGAGCCCAAATTTTTGCAAGTTTTTTTTTTTTTTTTTTTTTTTTTTAGTTCAAATAATAAAGGGCATTATGGTTTCCAAAAGGATGAAGTAGGAATTAATTTAACAATAAGCTTGTCTATATATGGATTAGAGAGTGAAATAGCTCTTTTAATCATTTTTAATTGAGCTGGAATTAAAAAATTATCTGTTCCTGATCTTGTTGAGAATCTGGGGATAGCTTTTTAAAAAATCCTCACTTGAGGATATCCATTTATCTTTAGAGAGATGGGGGAAGGGAGGGAGACAGAGAGAGAGAGAGAGATACATTAACTGATTGCCTCATGCCCATTCTCTGACTGGGGTTGGGGATAGAACCTTCAACGAGGTACATGTTCTTGACTAGGATAGAACCCACAGGCTGACATTCTAACCACTGAGCAAAACAAGCCAGGGCTCTGGGGAAAGCTTTTGATCCATTCCCCCCAAAGGCATATATTCATAATTTTATATTTTCAATTATTTATGACACCTTTGAAGCTCATCAGACTCAAGGTAAGAGCACTTGTGACAGTCTCTTCCTCCTATACCAGCTTAAAAACTTCTACACCCTTTTCATTATTCTAACTAACTTTAAAGGAACATTTATTTTAGTAAATAATAAAGCACGATAGTAATAAGAGGCAGAATTGTTTATAGAAAATGTGACTACCACTAGGATCCCAAGAGAATGTTATTTTTTGAACCTAGAGGGTTTAGTAATCAATTTAATAATAATTAAAAATTAATTTAATAAAAATATAAAAAATTTAATAATAACAGAAGAAAAGATCCTGTTCCCTAAAGCTGCCAAACCTCAATACCATGGAGGCAACAGGTTTCATGCGTAATAGGGAGGAAGACCCCCTCCATGACTGAGCCAGCCGTAATCTGGGTCTGTTTCATCAAACTCCCATTCCTCACATCTTTAACTTTAGAGACTCAGTGTGGTCCTAGGCACAGGAAGAGTGGGGAACAGATGTTTTGTATAACATTTCATCTATATCTGAAATATATTTTCTCCTAAAACAACCTACCCTGTGGGGTGTCACCTAACTCTAATGGAGTCAAACTTTTACATTCTTACCTCCAAAGCTAAAATTGCTGCTTCCAGCCACCATATCTCGATTAGGAATATTTTTGGGGGTACATTATTTCTTAATTCTGGGAACATTAGTTTAAAAGGACTTACTGTAAATGTCAGGCAAAGTATTTCTTCCAAAACAGATGTGTTTTTGCCTTAAAGAAAAAGAAGAGCCAGGACTCCCAGTTTTAAGCAATATTACCTTAATTTAGATCTTAAGAAAGTAAAATAGAATTTTTTGCTCATTATAACTGAGAAAATCCAGCAATGGCACTCATTTGAGGCACAGCCTGAATAGAATCTTGGTGACTTCAGGGATTTCTTTGTACAGATATCACATGCTTTCTCTGACCTTATACATTAGTTAGGATTCAGATGTGGTTATATATATAGAAGCCTGTAGTTGTTTTAATAAGACAGACTTTTCTGATATATTTAATAAAAACTCAATCCATTATGTTGGCTCTGATCTAGAAAGTCATCTGAGACCAGGCTTTCCTGTTTCCCTATCCTCAGAGTGTTGTCCTGGCCTACATGGTCCAAGCTAGTTCACCTTCAAGTTCATATTCCAGGATCAGGAAGCAGTAGAGGGCATGACATTCCCCATAAGGGAGTTGTGCACATCACTTCCCGTCACAGGACATTGGTCAAACCTTACCTACAATGGCCACACCTTGGTGCAAAAGTGCATGGGAGGCACAGTTTTTATTTTGAGTCAACATGTATATGGTTAAATTTAGGGATTCCTTCTTACAGAATGGGGGAGAAAGACTATTAGGCTAAATAGCAATCTGACATTGCTTTTAACCATATGTCAGGCCAGATTTTATCACATGGCAGCCAATATGGGGATTACTGCAGTTGACACAACATACATCTGGCTTCCCACCCTGGAAAGACTTGGGGAGCTCCCTGGGCTCCTATGGTTGCTCTGTACAGAAAAGGCAAGGGCAGTTGATCTTGTTCTGATTAAATAACAAAACTAATTGCATACTGGTTCCTTAGATCATGAGGCAAAGTCTAGTCTTGTCATTATATTATGGAATATTCCAAGATTTAAAAAAAAAAAATGACTTCAGAGAGAAAGAGGAAAGGGAGAGAGAGGAGAAGCACCAATAATAAGAATCATTGAGCAGCTGCCTCCTGCATGCCCCACAGTGGGGGTTGAGCCCACAACCTGGACATAGGCCCTGACCCAGAATCAAACTGTGATTTCCTGATTCATAAATTGATGCATGTGAGCCATGCCAGACACACAAGATTTTTAAAATATTCTATGACTGGGTTCTTCTCCAGAGTCTGTATATATATATATATATATATATATATATATATATATATATATATACTGCTTATTTAATGTCATGGTCCCATTACTTTCTTTTCTGTATGACCTTCTAACATGCTGGAATTACTCAGTTTATCAATTTGTTTGCTCTTTATTATTTGTC